AGTTTCAACATTTGCTATGAAGCATCCTTTGATGCTCCAGATACATCCTCCTAAGGGTTAATGTGTCAAAACAGGAAAGAAAAAAAATGCAAAAGCCGTGTAAATTCTTTCTGTAGCATGACAAAATCTCTTTGCATCATGTTCCAAAGTGTGAGATGTGAAATTTTCATTCTTAAGTAAAAATGGTAGAAAAAGTACAAACCCTGGGAACTACTTAATTATTAGTTTATCAGATCAGCATCAGCAAAACTATCTTTTTATGTGTTGCTCAGTTTTAAAAACCTACCATGCATATTTCAGTTCTCCCTCTCTACACCCCACACCCTTCTGCTGCTGTCCAGCTGGAACACATCAAGGGTCTAGAAGCCAAGTCAAATGTTGACCCCACCCTCCTCCATCCATTTTAAGGCACCTTCAAAGCCACTACACTGATCTAGTTCAGCTTAGCCAACAACGCCAGCAAATCTGTTATTTAAGACTTTAGTGCCGGGTTTTTATAACTGCCCATTAATACAAGCTTTGATGTATGGTCAAAAAATCCATCTGTAATGAGTTTCATCAGACTGTAGCAACCTTTCCTCAGAAGGTCTTTATTACTATACCTTCATAATCTTCGGACCCAATACTGTTTTATAGTATCATTCTCACTGAACTGCCTTAAAAAACAACACTTGGCATCATTTAACATATCACCTTCTGCAAAATTAAAATACAAAGATCTGTTCATAGTTTCATAGAAGACATTTTTGTACCTACGTTTCCTCTTAGAAAGAAGCTAGGAGTTTCCTCTTAGGAGTATGCAGGCAACAATTGTGTGAAAGAGAAGATAAAGTGATTTTTATGACAAAACCCTTGAGTCAGGATACAAAAGGATTTTGTAAAAGCACAAAGAACTTACTCTGTTGTTCCCCTTTGCAGGATGCAGCAGGGAGGGAAGAGGAAAAAAGAAATATTAGATACATATATTTTACATACATTCAGTCTAACTTGTGCAGTTCTGGAAGTAGCTCAAACCAAATGAACTGACTCAAAGTACATTCACAGAATCCTTTAGTCAGGCAGCTTCCTGAGGAGCACAGGACATTCACGAAGGATCTGAAATGGCCAGCGAAGCTGTAAATTCACACTGCTTTTCAAAATTTCCTCTCTACGCAAACTTTCAGATTCTACTTTTGCTTCCTCCAGTGTAAATTAGGAGCAGCTCCAGGGAAGTCGGTGGACACTAAAACAAGGGTGAGGGAAACGAGGCTCAAAATGATCTAGGGATGGGACCAAAGCCAGAGGGATTTTCGTGCATCGCTAATACTGAGCTTCCAGTACGCAAAGCAACCACTAAATATGTCTGCTTACCCTTTCATGACAGCCACTCCCTGCAAGATGCCAATGAATGGAAAGTTTCACGATCCAATGCTTTTAAAAAGCAAATATTGTACGTTTAGACTAGTAATGAAAGTAAGGAGGAGATGGCATTAGGGAAAGGGGAACGGGAATGGATGGTTGGTGCCAGCCAGGTAAAGTGTGCTGAACAGCTTACGATGAACATCTGTGCTTTCTTTTCTTTTCTTTTAATTACAAGTTTTGCCATGAGCTGGCATGAACAGTGTATATTATCCAGTGGGAAGCTGGCCAAAATAAAAACCAGCCGAGTTGAGAAATACAGTCTGGAAAGGTTAGTCACAAAGTTGTAGCCATTTTTTAGAAAAGGAGGTTTGGACGCCTCAATACAGAAACCCAGCAGTAAAGTCAGCTGGTAAATGGATATCCTGTTTCAAAGTGAACTGGCCACAGTGTGATTTATATCAAGCAAGCTGCCTTGCATATGGGTTGGAATACTAAAAACACTGATTCATTGCTATCTGGGTGGCTGTCGAAGCTCACGTCCTGAGAAACGCAAATCTCTGGGGAGGGAGGTGACCTGGAAAAGTCCAAAAGAATTCAGGGGCTCAAAGAAAAACTCTGAAGGGTGGTTAAAGATAGCTAACAAGTGAATGAATACGTGAACGTACATCTGCACACACTGAGGGATGGAGAACACAGGCAAAAGGAAGCAAGAAGATGGAGGAACGGGGTGTTAGATGGTTTAATGAGTTTTGTTTAGGCACAAAAACAAAATGTCAACAACCTTAGACTTTGCTTAGGGTATTAAAGTACTACTTCATAGCAGTAGTGGTAAGTACCAAGCCCCATTACCACTGTCATCATTCAATTTTAAGTAGTACTACTAGAAAAACAACAGAAAAACAAATATTCTTAGTTGAGAGATTTGCTCCTGGTGAGAACTTGAAGCAAATCTCTTTAATTCAGTGACAAATTCCTACTATTCCTTTCATTGCAGAAGTAAACCAAGTAGGGGCCAATGCGTTGGGCTTTATATCAGCATTCCCGTATGCGAGCAGCAGAGCTGTTAATGAAAGCACACAGCTTAACTTCAGATTCCAGGCTGTGCACACTCCTCTGGCAGTTACAGAAAGCAGGCCAGCCTCACCACTGCAGCACTCCAGGTTTACAGCACTATTAATCTATTTTTCATTTCTAAGCAGCAATTTTTCTACTTCTGGTGCCAAAGTCTTGGATATTCAAAGTTACCAGCTGCAACTTGCACATGAAAAAGAATGAGAAGGTCATCCTGTGAAGGGGCTGGGGTACCTCTTTGCATTTTTAACTGTGGGACTGCTAAGCTGTTAAGAAAGACTGAAGCAAACACAACTTGCTGCCATTTCCTAACAGCATTTCTTGCATGAAAATGAGGTCTCTCAATCTTTGAAGAAGAGTAAAAGACTGGTGGGCATCTCAAAAACTATTTTATGTTGCCAGGCAAAAGTGCAGAACTGAGGAGTGTGCATATGATTATAATGAAAATTCTGTCGAAGTTCCCAATGTGCCCTGAGTGCTGTAGCTTTTGCTTTACAAAATACAGAACTTTAACTGCAGGCTTTCATTACACATTTGAACCTACAGTCGTAGTTGTAGTAGGAAGAAAATACTCTGCAAGATTAGAGTAGCATGAAGGATCCTTCCTGCACAGTTTGATGAGCTACAGCATGAATTTCAAACTGGAGGGTTTGGAACAACAATATTCACTCTTTTTTTGTGATGTAAAGGTGATTCCAGCCCAGACAACAACTGAGTTTTGACTGCCTCCTAACTTTGTCTTTTAAAGACGACTTTCAATCTTGTTTCTGAGATTCCTTCAACAGACAAACTTTAAAAAAAAAAAAGGTTCTTCAGAAAACCTATTTTGAATATAAAATATTTTTAGGGAGATAGGAAAAACAAAGAGACAGAACATAAGTTTAGAAATCCAGCCAGTGTGCCTTTTTTATCAATAAAGGATCAGGTATATGAAGAATATGGCAAACATGGCAGATTCGATTGGCTGGTTTGACACCATAACCTGAGCAAAAAGTCAAAACGATGCAGTATTTTGAAAGTAGGAATTTCTTAGATAACCTCTTATAACTAATCCTTGTAACATGACTTCTGGTAGTCCTAGATAAGAGCTAGGGGACAGGCACCCTACTGGAAAGTCATTAAGAATATTTAAAAAAGAGTGCCAGATATTTGGTAGGTCTCCTGCTGAATTTGTGTCTGACCTATTAAAAAAAAAAACAACACTGTTATTATAATCACTGGTCATTTCTACAATAACTGGAGAATCCCACAGTTCAAGTATTCTGATTTGGCTTTTGCTGGTAGCCTCGACAGTGTTTACACAGAGTACAGGGAGCGTTTCCTGTGCGTGTAAATAGCAGCAGGAAGAGATGGAGAGAGGATTATAGAGGAAGATGTACAGGTATCACAAAAATAAGGGAAGTATGAGGAAGACGATGAAAATGGAAGACATCACAAGACCCTGGGCTCAAGGGACCTGCCCTTGTCATGGAAAACAAGCAGGAATAGGAACAAATTCCACCAAAGTCAAAGCATTATTTCTCAGAATAGATTCTCCTCTGAAGGTATCCATGCGAAAATTACTCTAGAAAGATGAGCTATGCATCAGAGAGTCTTTAGTGAATACTGAAAGAATTTAGTGAATATTGAAATACTGAAGAATTTGTCAATTCAAACTAGTCAAGCACAGAGCACAGGGCAAAACAAAAAAAAGAAGAAAACCCCAATACTGATTGAATCCCATGGAAGCTCTGACACGACTGAGAAAAAGTTGTGGTTACTGTAGGTTTGTCATGGGTAATAAAGGCCTTTTAAAATTGAAACCTTAACTGTAAAACAGAGTAGCCATAATCTGAATGGTCTTAAAGCAGCCTCACTGCTCAGTGCCAAGGTTTTGTTCTGATGCTGCAGGCCTCTGATGCTCCAGTGCCTCACCAGGGCCTCAGCTACGCAGGCACTTGAGGGAGCTGGACTTCAGGAGCTGAGCCAACTCCCTCGTCCCAGACTTATGTAAATGACAAAACACAAAATGACAATGTCCAAAAAGTACAAAATGGTAGTTGGGCATATTCCATTTCCCAGCATTTTCCTTTTTTTGTCTTTTCTGTTTAATTTAGAGGCTGTTTTTCTTGCTGTTTCCTGTTCAATTTGCTTCACATGATTAACACAGTAAAACTGTGTTTGGAAAGGTTTAGCATGTGTTCCATGCACAAAAACATGCAATGATTCAGTAAAATAAATACACGTGATTGCCTCAAATGCTTCTGTCAGTTCTGTAATACAGAGCTTGCAGGAATAAGCTTATTTTCTTTAGAAGATATTCATAGAAGCAATGAAGCACAGAAAACCTCACTTTGCTGAATGCTTTTACTAAACTGTTCCAATGAATGACATTTTGGAACTTTCTTTTTTTTTTGAATTGATGTCTGACACACAAATTAACTGTAAAGTATTTCATTATGAATATTAACCAATTACTTCATCAGGCTACAATGAAAAGGCTACAATTTCTTGAGATATCTGCGGATGTTCTGTTCTCCCAAGTGATGCAATTGGTTTTCTGACTCAAAAAGAGCAGCTACTGAAACCGAGTGAGCTGTAGAACTTACTGAGGATTTATCAGGATAGACACCGGCTCGTAGCAGAGATGCCTTCCAGCTATCCACCTCTTCTTGGGAGTCACAGGCTAGTTCAAGGAAACGGTAATCCTTGTAAACATTCCTAGGACAGAGAGCAGCACACTGTAAAACCAGAATTTTACTTCTTTGTATCACGCACACAGCATATTAACAAAAAATCCTTTGGGATCAGAAATAACTTGGTAATTGTTTCGGACAATGGCGTTTATGAGACAGGTGCTTGTTTAATAATTACATGGAGTACTTAAAAATATCTTACAATGCTACAACACAGCTCTGGAAATAACAATTATCTGAAAGTGCTGTGAAACTGCTTCAAATCAATTTTCCAGCTTTTGCTTCCAAAATGAGGCACATTTAGGAAAAGTAAAACTGTTGTGATACAGAGGACAAACACAGAAGACATTCCAACAAAGCTGTATTTTGAAGCTGATTGCTGCTGTAACCAATAAATATCAGAATAACTAAGGATGCAACTTTTTCCCATGCTAGATCCTTTTGACTTTCAGACACCATCAGTAAAATGGGAAAAAATACAATGACAATTAGAATTTTTTAAGAATTCCTCTAAAGTCTGCCACAATCATACGAAAACTAGGATGTGTTTAAATAATACCTACTGCAGGTAATTAATGGAACTAGATAAATATAAGCATTAGGAATAGGGAATCACATAATGGAAGAAAAGAGAAAGAAGGAAAAATACATTATATGTAGGAAGGTGGTACTTGTAAATTCTCCAATAAATAGAGCAGATTTTCCCCTTACGGTTTAGCCATTAGTTTCCGAATTCACAGTCTATATACCGACCAGATTTGCTATAAATTTGTCAGCCAACAGTCTTTTTAGGAAAGGCCACAAGCTTTGCAGACAAAGGTTATGAAACCACATTTTGCCAGATCTTAAAAGCTGCACAGGAATCGATCTTCCATTGCAACCAGACTGTTTTCTTTCCTTAGCAAGCTATGCAGAGGGGGGAGCGAAGGGCAGCAAGGAGGACTCAGAGAGATTATTCAAGCTTCAAAGAGAGCTTCAAAGAGACAAGGGGTTCTTATAGCTCCGTTATGCAACAAAAGATGTGATTCCTGCCACATATTTTGAGGAAAAAAAGAGTGAACACCTTATAGAACTTGGAGATTATTATTATCATCACTGCCCGGACAGGTTTCTGTAGCATTCAGGAGCTGGTGGGATTTCACCTTCATGCTTCTGGAATACACCTGAAGATGTACTGCTGACTCAAACCAAGGACAGCCTCAGGCACATCTGCCAGGCAGGGCAGCATGCCTGCATTTCCCTCCTAGGACAACCAGACAGCGCACAAAGAGGCAGAGAGGCACTAAAGGTCACATCCCACAGCTTGGACACAGCCACTGGCAGAAGGAATGATTGAAAGCTCTACGTATCTTTTATTGATTAGAAATTTGAAATCAAACCATTTACTTCTTTGGCTCTAAATGCACTTATTCTGCCTTAATGCAAAGAATGGCCTGGACAACCTCTTCAGATTCCGTTACCTTGAAGTGATGATAAAACACTTGAATCTTAATTGATCTGTGGAACTCTGAGTCAAGATTTACAGAATAAAAGACTGAATGAAAACAAACAAAAAAAGATCAATACGGAATCACTAAAGAAAAATTAATTTTTCTTAATGTCTTAATGTCTTAATTTATTGTTAGGAGAAACGTCTACTGAGATAAGTTTTTTGGCTGAGATAACTAAGCAGCTATAAGGAAAAGGAAGGAAAATGAAGAGAAAGGGAAGCTAAAATGGTAACAGGATAGCCTCAGAATACTAAAAATAACAATAGAATACATAAAGACTGTAAAATATAGTGATAGGGAAGTTCCAAAAATACTTATCTGCAAGAGCAAGACAACATGACACCAGCTTATGAAAACATTTTTTCAGGATTGTCATGACATATATTAAACTTCTTGGCATTTTGTGACTTGCTACAGCAAGCATAGCTGTGTGAGAGGGAATTTTAGCTGACTGCTTTGAACAGATGGGAGCTGGCAGTCCTGCACTCCCTGTCATCATATGAAGAGCCTTCCTAGGCGTAGGGACACCCGATGAGCAAGATTCTGGGTGCCTCTGACCCTCTGAGGCCTCTCACTGCAATATGTGAGTGCTCCATGACCACTACAGAAGAACACAGGTTTCTGCTTCACAGAGTAAATGAGGAGCTAAAGGGCACACAAAGCTTGCCTCAGTGCGGGTAAACAGACAGTGCCTCCCAAAACAGCCTCCTTGCCCTTAGACTTCTTTGTCTTTCTCTTCCAGAAAGGCTGACAGGCACAGGAGCATTTCAAAGGAAAAAAAAAAAGCCAAAGCAACTCCTGAAGAGAGCTTGTCCTTTTACTAGCAGAATCTTACCAAAAAAACCCATACCATTAACATGTTTTACTCATTAGGAATCCACTGGCATCTCATGGAAAGCTGTAAAAACATTCTTGAAAACAATTCAAATTTTCTGTTTTGTTCTCTCTTCTACTTTTAAAAATTGCTAAAGATAATGGCACAGAAACAGTTACTACTCAATCCTTACCTACTTGTTCCATATGGAATACAATGAGATCATGCTCTCATTGTCATCTCCATAGCAGCTACATACTTTAAAGAGTGATATAATACAGGATACCAAGAAGAAAAAAGGAACTCTCAAAAATACAAGTTTTGTTGATATTCAGGCAAGTTTAAGGGACTGCAGAAACAAACAGATGCAATACAATAAATGCGAATATGCCTAGCAGTAAAATTTGCATGCCACATTTCCCTTGGACATTTAACATTTTTTAAGTTTGAGCACTCAAACAAGGGAGCTGTGTGCAAAGCTGCATGCATGTACCACATCTAACTATACTGCTTCCTTCTGCAGAGTTCATAACTAAATATCCTGTGTAGTACTTGAAAATAGATCCCAAGAGGGAAAAATATAAAAGATTACAATTTATTATCTGCAGGTTTTGTCACACTCCAAATACACACACCTCAGGATGTGCACTGCAGACAAATCAAAGCACTGCTTCTGGTGATGAGCAGCCAATTGGACTAAAGGTGCCCAAACCAAACGCAGTGCTCCAAGTAAGGCTGCACGGTGGCCTTAACCCCTTTAGCTCCTCCCACTGCAGAAGAGTCCTAGCAAGAAAAGGCAGTAACGGATTACGAGATCTGAAAGCATTCCATAGGAAACAGAGTAGTGGCAGTAAGGCTGGAAAGTGAGTCCAGTGGTGAGTTACTGAGATTCCTGTCCCACCAGTCCTAGCCTAGGCTTGTCAGCACTGCTCAGGGAGGGTTCCATTGCCTATGCAACAGCAGAGCTATAGGAACCAGGCCCAACAGTGGAATAATGGAGGGCTGAAAATCACAAAGAACTTTCTGGATACCTGCTGTAGTGGAGGCAATAGGCAATACCAACAGAGTTCCACAGCAGCTGCGCACCAACACTGCTTGCTATCCGAACAAGTGCTGTATCTCAAGACATGTAGCAGTTCTTGCAACTCCTTAACACCAAGATAAGGTTAAATATTTATCTCCAACAAGCTTGGAAAGATGTTAAAGGTAACCAGTCTATACACATTACAAATCCTGTTGATATGCATGCATATAAATAAATGCATATCCACACACTAACTGTATGCACAGACAGCTTTCAGACTGAGTTGGATCTGGAACATTTCAGTAGACAAAGCTGTACTGTATGTGCAGGTGTTGGGTTTTTTTGCTTTTTCTTTCTTTTTTTTTTTTCTTTCTTTTTTTTTTTTTTTTTGAGAGAGAAAATACAAACCAAGATTAAATGCAAAAGCATTTGTTCTTCCCCATAAACCTTCCTACTGATTTATAGTAGGAGACAGAACAGGAATTAGAGAATGAGAATATTACTGAAATTTTAGGATTGTGCCTATAGGACAATTTATCTCTAATCTTGCAAAGAACACAAAGCACACATAACTTAAACAGTGACACTGAAGCAGTGAAAGCAACTCATAGGCTGACAGGTCAAGGACTGTCCTCCTTTACAGGGATTTGAAACACCTGAAATGACTGTTGGTGAATTTCTCATCTTTTTAGGAGGATGCAAGCAAAATTTAAAATCAACACAAAATCTGGAACCAAATGCAATCTGGCCCAATTTTATTTCACAATAAATGCAAAAGAATGAATTCTGAGGTATCTTTGATTGAAAATGAGCTTCATACTTAGTGACTTAAAATAAGGAGAAAATAACAGAATCCAGATACACCAAACACGCATGCACAACAAAGATAACCTCGAATAAAACTCCACAGATATCCTTTGCTTATTCAGTCTGCAGCTCCACTGGCTATATTCTGCTTCTCTGACCTACTCTTAGTTTGCTATTTTAAACACTTGCAATTCCACAACGTCTGGTTTGACTATATGCACGATTTTTCTTATAAGAAAGCTCTACTAAAGGCTCTGTAAATCATATATTTTAAAGAAACTGACCATCTGCTATGAGTTAACTGCAATGACTAACATTTTCTATCAAGGCATGCCATTTCAGATCAGTACAATGTGAACGTTAATTAAAATTAATTACACATGTCTCTGAAGACATTTTTCTTAATATCCAGAAAAGCCAAAGAGACAATCTCTGAGACAATGTTGAGAAATAACAGCACTTAAGGATTTTGCCGTTAACTCATATAAGTGATCTCCCAGAAGTATAGGGATGTCTTCAAGTTTACACACCCAAATACAGACACAAATGAACTTAAGGTGAAAATGAATTGAGAGATGCTGATTAGCATATAGCCAATCCTGAACAACCAAGTGTCTCAATTTCTATATGAAAACCAGAAGAGAAATGTAGCCATGAAGGGCAACATCTGTGTGGTAAAAGTAAATGGCACAAAAATACTCTGTAACTCCATAGATAAGAAGGCTCAGTTACTGTTGTGATAGGTGATGAAAGGCTGATTTGGAACCTGCCTTGAGGGCCACACAGATACAAAAGGAGCTCCCAGTTGTCAGAGCCCACCACGTACCTCTGCTTCCACAGATGTGGCAGTGATGCACTTTCTGGGTCACACTGAGCAAGGAAGGAGAACT